GGAAAAAGTTGCATGTAAATACCACAAGATGGAGCTGAATAACATGTTCTCAGCAAATGCAGGATTTCCAGACAGCTTTCTTTCATAAATGAATAGTCAGATGCAATTCTCAATAAAGAAATGCAATTTAAGACACAGCGGTAGTAGAAACACATGCTTTACAACACTGGAGAAGTGTAAAATTGCAAGTTGAATCTGATATAAGTTCAGATTTCCAATCTTTGATCTAACCATGATTATGCTGATTACATTTAGAATAATACAACTTTCAAGTGCAAATAAAGATAAAGTAGGCATTTTAAAGCATAATATCAATCGATAGCAGCAAATAGTGTGAGTGGGAGAATTTAATAATTATTTTTCACAGATGCTGTTTTGGATCTTCCAAACTACATCTCTCCACTGATTTTCTTGTCAAAGCTAATTTAATTTTTTTTTTAGTTGGTCAGTGTGTAAGTGTATATTTAAGTAGCTGTAAACATTGCTGTAAATTACGAGCAGTACAGCTTTCTTTTGCTCAACTAGACCTTAGTGTCTCTGAAAATAATATGCCTGAATCTCCTTTCTCAGTTAGCCTTGGACCAGAATAAGTATTCAAATGTTTTGCTAAAGTTTTAAAGCTGTTTAATGACCAGCTGCTGGAATTGTTTTCAGAGTGCTTGCAATTTTCTGGTAGATAAGGTAAATTTCACAGACAAAATTACTGATATGTAGATATTAACCTCATTTTAAGGTTTTGCAATCCATATAATTAATTTTTTTTTTTTTCCCAATCAGGAGGTAAGCACAAAGACTGTGTCGCTGTGGTCCTATATAAACAGCCAGTTAGATGAGTTCACAAATCCTTTCTACGTAAACTATGAAAACCATGTCCTGTATCCTGTTGCCAGTCTGAACCATTTGGAACTATGGGTGAACTACTATGTCAGATGGAACCCACGGATGCGGCCTCAGGTATGAGCTTTCCCATGACTTTTATGTTTTAGTGAAGAGCACAGAGATTAAAAAAATTTATTATTTTTCATAGTGCCAAATGCAGCAGTTAATTTCAAAAGTGCTCATCTGTTGCACGTATTTCAGCTGATAGGGGAAAAGGTGATTTTCTTGAAGATGATGGGGATGTGTTCAAACTTGGTAAAATGATGTTTTCATTAAAGTCACCAGTAGAATAGGGAGTTACAGTATCACTTTATTGGCTTCTGAAAGGTAACAGATTAACAGTCTTTGTTGTCAGAAGATTACTTTTATAACATTCTATAATACTTTGTAACACTTTTTAATACTTTCATTGCCTTAACCTTCTTGTAGAGTTTCGTGTACCTTTGTTTACAGTCATGTTTTGCCCTTTACCAACAATGTTGTAAAATGTAGCAGCAGTTTCTGAAAGAATTGGACTACGTACCGACTCATTTTGTAGGCTCTCTAAACTTAGCATCACATAGATGCTTGTTTTCAATTGACCTTTACGGTTTCAAGCTGGCATGCTAAAGCTTAAACACTCCTTATACGTGCTCCTTGATTCATCCAGTATTTGTTCTTATAAGTAATGTCTGCTATTCAGATAAATCTCTAAATCTCGTCAGACAAATACTCCATGTGCTCTCATGCTTAGAAGTCTGAAGAAAGAACATTCAGTTTGTGTCCCAACCATAATATACATGAGGGTGCTACACCATCTCTTTATTAAGGTAACATTCCAAGATACCCCCAAGCATATTATGATAAATTACCTGTATTAAGTGACTGCTCGAAAGCTGCTTTCATCATCTAGCAGTTAGAATGAGACATGAGTTTCAAACTTATTAGACACCCACAAGTCAGAGGCTGTTGTAAAAGATGTTGTTCCAAGATGAGTTTCAAGGACAGTACACTGGTAGAAGTCCAGGCATCTGAGAAATACCTTTTAAGGTCCTGGAAAAGTCTGGATTGCTTGCTTTCTCGCTGAGAAGTTTCCTCTGAGCTGCTTTGTTTCCCTTACTTGTTCTATTTTGGTTGATGCAGTCCTATGACTGTTAGGTACCTGTTGGGTGTTAGCATGTGTTAAGACTTCAAAGATGGTGTATTTTAATCTTTATGGTTTTAAAGTAAAATTGTCAGCTGCTTTTTAGCAAAATATCATCTTTCCCTTAGCCTATTTGCGGAAAAACGTTTGCATGGTTTATGCACATTTTAGTATAATCGGCCTGCAGCAGTGTCAGTTTATTAGTTGTATTTAATTGAGATCTGTAGGCCCTGAAAGCGAGCAGGCTTTGTAAACACACATGAAAGCTAGTCCTGATCCAAAAGAGATGAGGGTGGGGAAGAGATGACATAATGAGAAGATATCAGAACTGTCATATACTTAGTGGCAAGCTCTGCTCACTGCCTGTCTGTTGGAGAGCGCTCTGTCCGCTTCTGTTGGAGAGCACTCAGGCACTCCAGCACGTGTGAATCATCGACCTTCATTGGTCTTTGAGAACAGGTCCCTCAAATCAGCAGGTTGAAGGTAGCAAAAGTTGATGATCCTGGTAACCGCCTTTACTACCACCTTCCTTTCTGGAAGAACTAATACAACTGTTCCAACTTTTTAGATCTATCACATTAGCTTTGTCTTGTGAAGATACGTCTTCTTGCCTTTCCTCTTACCTCTGGCCTGAATTTATGTGATATTTGTTACAAATACTCGGAAGTGTTTCACATCTACTTGGATAAATTTGCTGCAGAAATTACAGGTTTTTGTTACAGAATTGTGTTCTCCAATCTAATTATGAAAGCACAAACTCATGCAAACAAGTAAATAACAGTCTGTAATCACAATATACTGAGTTTGCTTTCTTCTGTATTTGCATTGTCTAGTTGCACACCCTGTTAGCCGATTCAGTAACATTCAGACCCATTCAGTAACAGCAAAAAAAACCAATCACCATTGCGACGCCCAGCAGGTCTTCACTTATCTTCAGTGAAAAGATTTCTTAAACAATCAGTGGATTTATTAAAAGAATGGGCATCTGCACCTGCTGAGAAAAGGTGGTTTTGTTGCATAACTTTTAATGTGGTTCTTTTGTTTTTCAACTGGAATAAGAGAAAGTTAAATATTTAATGTTAATGAAGAGCTCTCTGGTGAATAGCAATTCAAGGCAACCTCACATACTGTTTTATCAGCTGCAAAAACTTCTTTAGGAAACTAGAAAATGTTTATTGTTTTCTAGGAGCTCACCAAAAAGGAGAAATGTCTAATTACATGAGTCTAAGGGAAGATGAAGATTAGTCCTTTAATATAATCAGAATGGATGTTTGATACCCATTATCAACCATCTTTGTAGTATGGGAGAGGAAACTCTCAAGAACAAAAGGGCAGTTTTTGGTTTGAGGCAATATTGTAGGTTTTCTAATTTCAGCTTTATTAGTGGGTGAGGCTTGAGTTTTTAAATGGACTGAGAGAAATTATCATTGCACTTCATTGACTTTTCTATTGGAAATGAGCATACCTCACCTTTAATTTTTTTAATTTGAAAATTACTGAATGCTAACTGGATATAAGCATTTATATTTGCTTTGTTTTACTCTGTCTTCAAATATCTGTGTCTCATCAGACTTCTAACAGTACAGTAAGGTTTGATCATATTCGTCATTGCACTAGGATATATAGAGTTCAGAGATATTCTTATGTTCTGTAAATAAAAAATAGCTTATAATGATATATTTTCAGTTCTATCTAAGTTTTGTGGAAGGCTGAATTGGTGGTTTTGATGGTGTTTATTTGCATCAAGAGCCTCGCTTTAGGATTATAGCTGTATTGCAATAGATGCTGTGCAATTAGGTGGTGCACAGTCTCCTTCCATAGGGTTCAAAGCTCAAGTGTCTGAGAAGTGAACAATGTGGAGAATTCTAGGTTAAATATGGACATTTGTTGTAGATTCCCTTTTTGCTAAACTGTGCTTCAACAAGGTCATTCCAATTCTTAAGTGAAATAAAACATTCCTTGGTTTCAGTTTGGAGGTATTACATCATTATTGACTTCTTGTCCCAAGAAAATTAGATGGATTTTAATCCTATCTTATTTGAGTTCATTGACCGAGAAGAGGTTTTTTTCATATTTGCCCTTTCCTTGGGTTGGAGAAATGTGTATTTGTATGTGACATGTGGAAGATAAGCTCTTTCATTCTCTCATACAGAGGTATGTGCTCTGTGGGTACCTGCTACTGGACTCACAGATGACCCTACTAGTCTGGAATAGATAAGATTGTATGATGCTTTTCAATTTTTTCAGTTGATATCATGTATTTCTCTTTCCTTTCCTACGTAGTCATTCAGACTACTTCTTTACATTGATTTGAGGAGTTCTGGCTGCCAGATGTCAGTTAGTTATCTGCTTGGGCAACTCTGGAAGGTGGGGAGAACACAACAGATTATTTTCCTGAATATTATTTCTGCAGGGGCAGTATTTTTGAACTAATATACTCTTATCATTCATATATGCAGAGCATGAGTAAAAGTTCTGGTCCTTTCAATTCAGGCTGTGCCTTCCTATGTGAGAGGCAAGGAAAAGAATGTATTTTAGTCACAAAATTTACATAGTCCATTAAGATATGTTTAGTTGTTTTTATGACTTCTGGGAAATGACATTTTAACCCTTGGAGTACAGCGCTTAAACTTGTTTTTTTTTAATTTTTCTATGCCTGCTAATTTTTCTTCAAGCTCTGTTCTGGAAATTTGGCCACTGTGCTAGAGACAATATCATAGGAATCCCTATAAGTTTTTCAAATTTCATTCTTTTCTTTGTGTGTGTAGACTTTCATCCAGAATGTAAGTCTAGCACCATCTATAACCTAGGAATTCAATTCAGCTACTGGAATGGGAGCATCTGCTAAAGGCAGTCTTCGGAGCTCCCATGAAAAGCCAGGGAAATTCTGTTCATAGGTTAACAGCTGGCTTTAAAAAAGGAAAGGAAAAGGTAGGAGTAAATAACTGTTTGTTCAGGATATAAAGAAATTATCTGGAAAACATATAAAAAAGTTACAATGATTACTGCTTTTTTTTTATGCTGTGTATAGAATTGTAGAAGGATTTGATATGTTGAACAGTTGAGTCATTAGATGTCAGCTGAACTTCAGTGTCAATAAACACAAAATATTGCATATTTAAAAGAACAAATAAGATGCTAAGCGTCACTGGAAAAACTGTTGAGAATAAACTGGAAAACATAATTACTGAGATGCTTTATCCTGCACATAATAGGATAGGACTTATTGTCTGGCATGTGGGGTGTTCATATTATTTATACCTGCCTTCAGTCAAGTTGCCCAGCATTTTCCTCTCTGAACATGTTGACAATGGTTGTAATATTTTCGAAGTTCATACACATGATTTAACACCATTTTGTGGCAGGACAGGGCCATCATATGGCTCTGGAAATGCTTGGCATTGCTGGTCCGCGATCCATGGTCTTGAGTCCATCTTTTTGCATGAAAGAATGAGGCAGGAGATGTCAGGAGAAGGAATCGCTGTGTGGGTTAGGTAGCTGAATGTTGCCCTAGTTAAGGAGGTTTCATCCCTGCATTTACCGCAGAATTTCTTGTGAGACAAGGCAAGTTTCTTACAGTACCTGACAGTTTCTCTCTATCTGAGTGTCTAAGTCAAGATTTCGTTGACTTAGTCTGATTTACTGCAGGTAATTTACATCTGCAGATAAAACTCTCAGCATTCAATTGATACGGAATAAAATAAAGACTAGCTGCTTATCCTGTGTGCTGAAAAAATCTGTAGTTGTTTAAAGAAAAAAAATTGGTATCCTGTAATGAGCACAGCATCAGAACACGCACAGAAAGGGAGAAACTAGTACTGCACAAATAATCTTCATTTTGGGGATTTTCTAACGTATTTTGAAGAGCAAGCACTCAAAGCATTGCTCTAATCTATCAGATCTCTAAATCTAAATGGGCTGTAGGTTTTAACAAGCAATGGCATCAGCTTGT